ATATTAGCCTTGGTAGGATAAATCTCCCCAGACTTATCCAATGGCTGTGAAYATTTAAAACTAACACGWGTCTCAATAAGTGTCCARTTTTAGGGTCTTACACAGAATTATACAAAACAACATGAATCAAACATGCACTTTATTTATTTACACTAAATATCAAAAGTACATCAAATCAGATTGAAGCTAAGGGAATACAAAACTGTCTAACACCCCCAACACCTTTGTTCTGCACATTGATGGTAGTCTAAGTATATCTCGAGAGAACCTGCATGGTGCTGGCTTTGGGGGTGTCATTTTAGGTCCATATGGTAGCTTGAATGGGTGTTTAGTGGCCCTATCTTTATGGCTGATGTTCCTTAGGCTGTGTTAAAATCTCTTCTGAAGGGCTTCCAAATAAATTTATGCAAGCTGATCCCATTGCAATAGAAAGTGACTCCAAGATTGTTATTGGTTGGATTAACCTATGGGACTGAGCCTTGGGGGTTTTCTCACCTTTATGAAATAACAGATATTAAAGCTACAATAAATTGCGGGTTTAGAGTAAGAGATCTAAATCAGATTGCAGATTCTCTAACTAAATCAGGGCTGGCAGGTTTTGTATAGTGCAAACAAATTACCATTTGATTAAGTGGGCTTTTATTTTTGCTGCTAAGCCCTTTTGTACATCATCTCATGTACACCCCCCCTTTGATCCAAGTTCAAAGTTTTGGTTCAATATGCCCCGTATCGGGATTGTATGGTATCTTTTGCTGACTGATACACCTATTTTAAGGCATTTTAAGAAAATCTTCTTTTAATAATTAAATAACATAAAATTGGTTCCCTTTGGAAATTTGAAAGAAAGGAACTAAAAAGAAAAGTGCAAGGTTCAATGTATCGATACACCCCTTCCAGCATATTGGGGTGTATCAATATTTTGAACCTTGCTTTGATGTAATGAAATTTCGCTTTTCTCAAAAATTATATTCCTAACTTTCGTGGTTCTTCTCTTAACTTGGAAAACAAACCTGAGTAGTTAAGAAATACACGATTATTGCAAGGTATGACTCAAAAGGACCAACGTCAACTAAACTCAGCCTTAACCCCAACTATTTGGGGCTGGCTACAAGAATCTTGTCCCACCATTGTGCTTTATCAAGATCCATGTTCTCTTTCAAATCATAAATTCTTAAATCATTTTTTACCACTTCATACCATGTTTTCTTTTTGTCTTCCCATGCTCTTTTAGAGCCTTTTACTTACACAGTTGTACCAATATAATCCCCAATTGTTTGGCCATTGGCCATCAATGCACATGACCAAACTCTTTCATTTTACACTTCCTCGTCTCGTCATTAATTGGACATACTTCTATATCCTCTTTGATGTGTTCATTTCTAATTCTTTCCTTTCTAGTCTTGTCACTCATCCTTCTCAACATCCTCATTTCAGTTGCATTCAGTTTTTGAATATGTTTCTTGACTTCCCAGAACTCCATCCCATGTAGCAATTGCTGGTCTTGCAACTGTTCTCTAGAATTTTTCTTGTTAGTCTCTTTGGTGTGCTGATCACACAACACATTTATGCACCTTTCCAATCAACCACTTTGCTCTAATTCTATGAGCAACATTCTCTTTAATTTCTCCCTCATGATGTATATTTGATCTAAGGTACTGAAAGTGGTTAGCTTGAGGCATCTCTTGACCATCAATCTTGATTGCACCACTGCTGTTACTACGATATTTACTAATATTGTAATACCTGTATACTGGTATAATTCAAGAATTTCACCTGAGGGGTAGATTTTAAGAATCTCAACAAGAGAGCATAGTTAAGAGACAATCCAACCTAGCTGCCTCCATTATTGTCCTCCCCCAACTGCTAACATGGGGCTGACAACAAACTAACATTTTTGTGTATGTAACCAGGCACCTGTCACACCTGTACACTTGACTGATGAGGTGGCATAGCAATGAAATGATAAGAGGTTGAGGAAGTCAAATTCAACATGTACTTAAGGCTAATAAGCAACATCACTTTTGAAGTGCGGAAATGGTATAACATTAATTTTTTAGAATTCATAAGTCAAACAATTTTAAACCCTTTGCTAAGATGACCATATATATTAATAGAGAAATGGATATATTGAACTGGACATTTGTGTCTGCAACTCTTGTGATCCAAGACATTTTGTTAAGGTTGTGTTTGGTTTGAAGGAAGAAGTAGGGAAAGTAATGTTTTAGTATTTACATCATACAAGTTTTAACTAATCAGTAATACCAACGAGCAATAGTCTGTGATTGACTTGTCTTGACAAAATATCAGTTTCGTATCATCACTGGTGTTGGGACAGTGCTTTAGAATGGTACAAATCAAAAGAAAGAGGGAATGGAAAGTTTATATTTTGTTCTCACTTTCAACCATTACTATCTAAAACTACCTAAATATTTTTAATTGCCATTCATCTTTTCTTTACATCAACTTCTGCTTAAAGTAGATTTTCTACTACCTTGGAGAGCTTAATGATTCCCTTTCATATGCCCTAGGGTCTGGACCACTCATTGATGTTTCAGAGAATTGTGCTTTGTTCATATTCTTCCTGGTAAGATGCCGTATTTTATGTTGACGTTTGTCCTTTTTTTTTCCAAAAACTACTGGTCAAGTATATAACTTTGGCTATCTGATTCTGTTTTAGCTAAATTATTAGATGAATGTGCTAGCCTTAGGTCTAAGGCTGTGTAGTCAAATGAAGCAGAGGATGACCCAACAGGAGGACATTGTGGAAAGATTGCTTGATAAGTATGCTGATTACTTTTTGTTATCTTCCATATTGATGCAGGGGCATACCAATACCTTAACTCCTAATAAAGTTGGGTTTATATTCATAAACCAGTCCTTAAACGATCCACTAATCAGGTTTTTGTTTGGGCCTCTAAACCATTCAATTGTCAAGCTCAAGCCCAAGATCATACCCAAAGTCAGGCCCATATACAGACCCATACAAGAGCCCAAACCCAACACCATGCCCATGTGCACATAGTATGCAAGTTCATATAAAATATTATACACGTGTTGACTTTTTTTAAGTAAATGTCCCAAATTGTGATTTTTCAAATATATGGAAAAATGTACAAATAATTTGAGAAAAACATATGACATAAATAATTTTTATTTTTGAAAAATACACGACCAAAAAATTGGGAATTAAAAACATATTTAATTTTTGAATAAGGTAAAGTAATGTTTATTAGTGGAAGCTAAGTACAACGCATGATAAACAGTGAATCATTGTATACTCTTTCCAGTAACATTTGAATACAAATCAAATATCAACTGGTTGGTGGCCCATTGGTAGGATCTTGGCTTTGTTGTAGCAGAGACCTTGGATCAAATCCTGTTGCCACCAGGGATGAGGGGGTTTTAGGGGATGGGGAATGGGCTACCCCCTGTTGTATAGCCCCTCAAAGAAAAAAAGAAAAAAAATAGAATACAAATCAAATGGTACAACATTGGAATTGTCCTCAGTTACCATGAAACCAACTCTGTTTGGGTGAAAAAACAGATAAACTGAAGATTGCCTGAACTCCTCCATAGATGTCCAGGACCTAGCCTGCGGCCTGCCTAATACATTCTGTAATAAAGCGTCTTCTTCTGAGCTCTCATTTTCAAATATTCTTCTATTTCTCTCTGTCCATATAAAACCACATGATTGCAGTTAGAATGGCTATCCAAGCAATTCTTCCTTTCTTGTTTATTCACACACCAAGCTTCCAAGAATGCTTTGACAGATTTAGGGGCTGTCCAGCACATTTTCAAGAGTTTAAAGAAGTGAGATGAGACCAAATTCTATGTATAACCGGACAATGTATGAAATTGTGATAAGAGTTAAGACTATCCCTTGTTACACAGTTGCCTAGTACAGCTGTCCAAATTAGAAAATAAACTTTTGATGGAATGGATATTCTCTGTGCTTTATCTGGAAAAGAGTCGTTCTGGTTTTCTTCAAGGATCTCGATGAAGAGTTTAACAGAGAAGTACCCACTATCTACCAAATCTAAATTCTCCTGTCTTCCCTTTCTATGTTCAGTTGAGTGTCAAACTGTAATGAAACAATGTAATAAGTTGGCTTCACTCTTCACCCCCCAACCCTGGAAATTTTAAAATATGTTTATATTTTACATGTTTTTGTTTGAGAAGGTAAGGTAAAGATGTTTTTGATAAACGAGACAAAGTTACAACTCCTTCCTGGAGCCCCACATCTTGTAAGAGGGAAAATTACTGACTCCAAATAGACTGAGTACAAAGCAGCTGAAATACATTCTGAGATTTAAACTCAGGGGAGACAGATGACCAGGAAACAAGTTTAGACACAGCAGTCTGAATTTAGTCCTCCGGTCTTCTCACTTTGTTGCAGAAAATCCTATTTTTTCTTTCAGTCCATAAGGTCACTAAAACAGCCACAGGGATGGTTCTCCAGATCAGATTACCCTTCCTCTTCAGGCCAGGTAGTTTCCAGCAGCATAAAAGATCTTTAATAGAGCCCGGCATGACCCAACAGACCCCAGGCCCCCAGCCACCTTTTGAAAGTGCTCCCAAATTCTTACCGAGGTCGAGCAGTGGAAGCCCAGGTGATCAGCTGTCTCTGGCAACAGCCCACATAAGCCACAATTTAGATCTGAAACCTGGACCCCTCTCCTAACCATATTAGTCCTTGACACACACTTATTAAGGGTCATCACCCACACAGAAAATTATGTTTAGATGGACTGACAGTGTTCCACACCTGCTTACTTGTGAAATCAGAAGTGTTTAGTCTACTCAGTTTTGAAGCCAAGGATTTAACAGTAAAAACTCCATCACCACCTCCATTCATCCTCCAGATTAACCAAAATAGCTTGCTTCTGTAACAGTTGCAGATCTAACAGCTGATCCATCTCCCAATCAAAAAGGTTTCATCTGAAGAGGGGGCACCCAGAGATTGGTTCCCCAACCACCTCATAAGAATCAGCAACTGAGACTTCAGGGCTGCGGGCACATTGAAAAAGTAGAGGATAAGCTTCAGCTAGGGGAATGTCTAAATACCAGGAGTCCTTCCAAAATTTCAACCTATCTCCCCTACCAATCTTGAGAGCTAGGCCTTCAGAGAAAACCAGCAAGTATTTCATAATTCCTTTCAAAGAGAGTACCCCCAGCTCTGAAAAGATTTCCAATTACCCTAGTCCACCCCATATTTAGATGCATTAAGGTCCTCCACCAGGCAGTCCTCTCCACACCAAACCTCCAAAGCCATTTTCTGAGAAGAGAAGAATTAAAAACCTTCAATTTCCTTATTCCCAAGCCTCCATCCTCCACAGGGAGGCAAACCTGGTCCCAGTTAACAAGGTGGATTTTTCTTTCTTCCTCCCAGCCTCTTCACAGAAAATTCCTCTGAAGGGACTCCAACTTCCTTGCTATTTTAGAAGGGATGGGAAAGAGAGATAAGAAATAAGTGGGAAGGTTAGGAAGAGTACTTTTTAGAAGAGTAACTCTACCCCCCGAGGAAAGATACTTCGCTTTCCAGGATGCTAGTTTTTTTTCCACCTGTTCTACCATTGGGTCCCAGGTAGCACTTGTGGTATACTTGGCCCCAAAAGGGAGCCCTAAGTACCTACCAGGAAGATGATCCACTTGGCAGGCAAGAAACTCTGCCAACTCATGCAAACAGTCAACTTGACCCACTGGAAATAAAACACTCTTCCCCAAGTTAACTTTGAGCCCAGATATCACTTCAAACCAGCTTAGGATCCCAAGCATACTCTCCAACTGGTCCCGCGAAGCATCAATAAAACACTAAGTGTCATCCACAAACTGTAGCATGTGCACCTTCTCCCCCCCTCCCAGGTTGATTTCAAATCCCTCCCACTGACCATCAGAAACAACCACCTTACTGAACTGAAACAGCACCTCCATAAGACATATAAAGAGTATAAAGAGCAAGGGAGAAAGAGGATCCCCTTGTCTAATACCCCTCGAGCTCTCAAAGAAGCCTGTAACTTGTCCATTGACCAACGAAGTAACATAAACTTACATCCAGTTCCTCCATTTTTGCCCAAAATTCCTTTTTGCAAGCACAAAATTCAGACATCTCCAGTTCACATGGTCATAAGATTTCTCAATATCCAATTTGTAAATCAGGCCTGGAGTCCCAGCTCTTCTCCTAGAGTCAATGAGCTCGTTTGCAATAAGCAACTGCCCAACATCTGTCTCCCAGGAACAAAGGAACTTTGATTTTCGGATATCACACTAGACATGACCTTTTTCATCCTCTCAGCCAGCACTTTAGCTAGAATCTTGTAGAAGATATTGAGAAGACTAATAGGTCTGAAGTCCTTGATGTTTACAGTCCCGGACACTTTAGGAATGAGAGAAATAAATGTGGCATTTAGACTTCTCTGCAAGGAGGCACTACTATGGAAAGTCTGGAATACATTCAGAACATCTTGCTTGATGAACTCCCAGCACTTCACATAGAACAGGTTTGTCACACCATCGGCCCAAGAGATTTCTCAGCCTCCATCTTATTAATTTTTTCTTTAATTTCCATCTCAGTGAAAGGACCTTCAAGATAAGCTTTCTGATCATCAGAGAGCCTTTTAAATTATATTTAAAATGTGCCAACTTTTTTACACAAAACTTTTTATATAAGAATGCATTAAACATGAATGATATTTGGTTGATCTTTTATTGTATTACACTTATTTGATTTAATTTTTGCCATGTTTTTTGCTTTTGATTTTGAATTATACACAAACATTCTCATATAGAAAGGGTAGGTCAGAGGTGAACTTGAACTTGTTAGAAGGAACTTAGGAATAGCTTCAATTGGTGATAAAATGAGGGAAAGTAGACTAAGATGGTTTGGTAGGATGCAGAGAAAACCATGTACCTGTAAGAAGTAATCTGTTACAAGTGCAAGTTTCAAAAGTTTTTGCCAGATTAAAGCTGGGAGTTTTTGGGGTGGTTCCAAAGAAGAAGGGGAAGAAGACGAAGAAAACCTTTCAGATAAGAAAAGAAAGTTTGGTTTCAGACATTGGAGGCAATGAGGAAATGGGTAAAGCATGATGTTTTACCCGTTGAATAGGTTTCTGGGTTCAGTCTAGGTGTTTTTGTTTTAAGGGTTGAGATAAAGGTTTAGGTGGGAGTGATCAGTTTTGCTTGGTTGTGTGAGTTTTAATGGAAGGGGATGTTATGTTTACTCAGGTTTTCAGCTTTGGTTGGGGTGGGTATCTCAAAATGTAATTGATTTTTCAGGGCTGATTTTTTAGGTGTAAGGGGTTAAGCTGATGTTGTTTTTCCTGGGTTGGGTGATGTCTTATCACCCGTTTGTATCCTCCTTTTTTTGTTTCATTAATAAATTTTCTTCTTTATTTATAGTAGGAATCAGCTGAATTAAAAAATATGAAAGAAAGTAGTTTCTTGAAGAGAGAAGGAAGAGAGAAGGAGAAGAAGAGAAGAAGAGAAGAAGAGAAATTGAAAAGAAAAGAGAGCAATAATCTGGCCGCCCCCTTCACTTATTATTTATACTAAAATAATAGAACAGTACAAAGACA